GGCCCTAGAACTGACCCCTGTGGGACCCCGCTCGTCACAGGCGCCCGCTGTGATACCTCTTCACGTACCATGATATAATGGGCTTATTTGTTTGGTAGGCTGTAAGCGGGTGGTTAATGATAAACGTCTTCGGAGGCTTCTTACTTTATTGTTAAGTCGTGATGGGTACACAGGCTTGTGTGTTGTGCCCATGGCCCGGGCAGGGCCATCCCACGAGAGAGAGCTACTAGCAGGCCTTGTGTCTTCCTGCTAGGCCGCTGTGTGAGTGAGAATGAGGCAAGGGCAGGCAGGCTGAAGTGGCAGTGCCTATAGGTGGCAGCACCAGCATGGCGTGAAATATGAAATAAGCTGGCAGACAGCATGGGCTGTCTGTGCAGACAGTACAGGCTGTCTACATATGCTCGGCCACCTACCGCGCGTCGTCCCGACGCAACAATACTAGTGGTAAAAGAAACTCGGTCTTTCTCTCGTAGGAACAGGGCACAGAACACAAAATAAAAACATATATATACATATGGACATGGAAAAAAAACTTCCTACAGGGAGAGAAGAAAAAAACATGTAGGGTGTGCTAAACATCGTGGTCATAGGCAGTGAGTGTCGATGGGCATCACTGCACGCCTTCCTGCGTCTGGACAGATACTGCAACACAGGAGACATCACTGCAGCTGAGCTGTGACATAACAGGGTACGGTCTCCTCTGGAACGGTGAAGCAGACATCGTAGGAGTCGCTGCAGGTTTCACTCAACCTGGGGCACGACGTGCTGGTGCCCTCGAGTGAGGCGTCGACAAAACTCGGCATCTGGGCAGGACTTCTGGCAAGCGACTCAGGAGAACACTTCTCGACTGGTACTGTCGCTGGGCTGTCACGGCCGGCGAGCGTGGAGCGAGTTGTGGAGCGAGTCATGGCAGAGACGACTGGGCGAAACATCTGGGAGTCGTAACATCATACACCAGACTGCAGTGAGAGAGCTAGCAGTCAAAGTGACATCTTTGTGCAGGCTGCTCACTGAAGCTTGTGACACGAGGCTGACACAGTGTGTCATTCTCTCGACAGTTGGAGTTACAGCAGAGGTTAGTCTAAGTGTCCCCAGACTTGTTTCTCTACATATAACTACATTCTGAAGGTCTGGAGGTGAAGTGAAACAAATCTCGATGGGAATCGTAGCAGGTACGATTCTGCAGAACTTCACGAGCGACGAGCATAAAAGCTTTCTGTACAAGAGGGCTCATACGCTCGGGGCTGAGTAATCAGCTGTCAAACGCGCTGGTCACATGGGTGACTTAGCACACAGTGGTGCTAGCCAGGTCTGGCTCAGACCTCACTGGACACACGGAAACTTTAAACACACCCGCGGTACATACGGTACACTAACATGTGAGAACACTGACTGAGAGGAATTAATTAACACGACATATATCTTCTCTCAGTCTTCTCGACAATACTAAAATAATTACAGAACACTCGATGGTGACATCATGTGATGTCAGGCGTGATGTCGCGAGGTGACGTCAGCAGACATCTCGAGGTGACGTCAGGAAGACATCGTGACATCATGAAGTCGGGCAGCATTGTGGGTGACGTCGGTGTGATGCGGGCAGCAGACCACAGCATGAGGCCTGGGACATCTGGTAACTCACGTGGCTGGTAGATCTACATGACATCGCCCACACCCACGTGGCGTCGGGATCCACGTGGCGTCGTGATCTACGTAGCATGCTGATCCACATAGCTTCGAGTGGCCTCGGGCACTCGGATACACAGCTCTGGCAATGAATCACACGAAAAACAGCAGAAAACACAGCAGAGGGAGTGAGTAGTGGTGAGTGGTGTATGGTAGTGTGGTGGCGAGGAGCGTGGATGAGTGTATGGCGAGGGAGCATCTGGCCATTCCTCCTCCTCCCACCCACAAACACAGGGAAACACACTGGACGCAGAAATCACCACGAAACTCACCTCTGGCTTGCTGAAACAGCTGTGCTGAGCTGAACAACAGCAGCAACATACAAGTGACGCTGAACACGTGACTTGAGAAACAGCGTGGGTCCCACTGTAGCGTGGGGTCACTGGGACGCCACTTACAATTCTCGAAGAATTTCGGCAAATTTTGGCTAGATCCTGCTTGTACCTGTGTCTGGATGCTCAAACGTGCAGACACGACATCAGGATAACTCGTTGAGAGATGGATGCTTGTTGTATAGGGGGATGAAGTGAACAACTTCATTCATTCCTTCCTTCCTCTCTCTGGGCAAACACACTGCTGCGACCACCGCTTTCCACTATTTATAATGAGTTTGTTTGGTGTTCTGGTAGCGGGTGGTTAAATGATGCGTCTTCGGAGGCTTCTTACTTTATTGTTAAGTCGTGATGGGTACACAGGCTTGTGTGTTGTGCCCATGGCCCGGGCAGGGCCATCCCACGAGAGAGAGCTACTAGTAGGCCTTGTGTCTTCCTGCTAGGCCGCTGTGTGAGTGAGAATGAGGCAAGGGCAGGCAGGCTGAAGTGGCAGCGCCTATAGGTGGCAGCACCAGCATGGCACGAAATATGAACTAAGCTGGCAGACAGCATGGGCTGTCTGTGCAGACAGTACAGGCTGTCTACAATGACTCGTTGCTGCCTCCCTGTCAGGTATTCCCTGATCCATTGCAGTGCCCTCCCTGTTACATGCGCCTGATCCTCCAGCTTCTGCACTAATCTCTTGTGGGGAACTGTGTCAAAGGCCTTCCTGCAGTCTAGGAAAACGCAATCAACCCACCCCTCTCTCTCGTGTCTTACTTCTGTTACCTTGTCATAAAACTCCAGGAGGTTTGTGATACAAGATTTGCCTTCCATGAACCCATGCTGGTTTTCATTTATAATCTTGTTCCGTTCCAGGTGTTCAACCACTCTCCTCCTGATAATCTTCTCCATGACTTGGCACACAATACATGTCAGAGACACACAGAGGCACCTCGTTTCTGTTTCCTTTCTTAAATATGGGGACTACATTTGCTGTCTTCCATTTCTCAGGTAGTTGCCCAGTTTCAAGGGATGTGTTGAAGATTGTGGTTAGAGGCACGCACAGCATCTCTGCTTCTTCTCTAAGGACCCATGGGGAGATGTTGTCCGGTCCCATCACCTTTGAGGTATCAGGGTCACTTAGCAGCTTCTTCACCTCCTCCTCAGTTGTTCGTATGTCATCCAACACTTGTTGGTATATTCCCTCTTGATGTTCCCTTCTGTGCTGTCTTCCCACAGCCCTTCCTGTCTCTACTGTAAAAACTTCCTTAAATCTCCTGTTTAGCTCCTCACATACCTCCTGGTCATTTCTTGTGAGTTCTCCCCCTTCTGTCCTTAATCTGATCACCTGGTCTTTGACTGTTGTCTTCCTTCTGATGTGGCTATACAACAGTTTCGGGTCAGTCTTGATTTTCGATGCTATGTCATTTTCATACTGTCACTGGGCTTCCCTCCTTACCTGTGCATACTCGTTCCCGGCTCTGCGACTGATCTCCCTATTTTCGTGTGTTCTCTGCCTTCTGTACATTTTCCATTCTCTATTGCACTTGGTTTTTGCCTCCTTACACCGTCGGGTAAACCAGGGGCTCGTTCTGGTCTTCCCGTTGTTTCTGTTGCCCTTGGGAATAAACCTTTCCACTGCCTCCTTGCATTTTGTTGTTACATATTCCATCATTTCATTTACTGGCTTTCCTGCCAGTTCTCTGTCCCACGGGACCTCCTACAGGAAGTTCCTCAACCCTATGTAGTCCCCTCTTTTATAGTCAGGCTTTTCCCATTCAACTCCTGTTACTCTCTGTACTTGCAGCTCTACTATATATTCAAAGCACAGAACCACGTGGTCGCTAGCTCCTAGGGGACTCTCATACGTGATGTCCTCAGAGTGTGCGTGTGCGTGTGCGTGTGCGTGTGCGTGTGTGTGTGTGTGTGTGTGTGTGTGTGTGTGTGTGTGTTAGATAGGAGTAAATGGAGACAAATGGTTTTTGGGAACTGACGAGCAGTTGGAGTATGAGCATGGTAATATTTTGTGAAGGGATTCAGGGAAATTGGTTAGTTGGACTTGAGTCCTGGAAATGGAAAGTACAATACCTGCACTTTAACCCTTAAACTGTCCAAGCAGATCTATGTTCACATGCGTAGCGCTTCAAAAGTAGATCTACATTTTTTTTACATTTTTTTTTTTTCAACAAACCAGCTGTATCCCACCAAGGCAGGGTGGCCCAAAAAAGAAAAACGAAAGTTTCTCCTTTTAAATTTAGTAATTTATATGGGAGAAGGGGTTACTAGCCCCTTGCTCCCAGCATTTTAGTCGTCTCTTACAACACGCATGGCTTACGGAGGAAGAATTCTGTTTCACTTCACCATGGAGATAAGAGGAAATAAACAAGAACAAGAACTAGAAAGAAAATAGAAGAAAACCCAGAGGGGTGTGTATATATGTGCTTGCACATGTATGTGTAGTGTGACCTAAGTGTAAGTAGAAGTAGCAAGACGTACCTGAAATCTTGCATGTTCATGAGACAGAAAAAAAGGACACCAGCAATCCTACCATCATGTAAAACAATTACAGGCTTTCGTTTTACACTCACTTGGCAGGACGGTAGTACCTCCCTGGGCGGTTGCTGTCTATCAACCTACTACCTAGAATATTTTCAAAAAAAAAAAAAAAAAAAAAAAACTTAGATCAAAGTTTTTTTTACACGTTTTTAAGTGTAAAAAAAAAAAAAAGATCTACTTTTTTTACATACTTTCAAATGTTGAAAAGACGTAGATCTACGTTTGGACAGTTTAAGGGTTAAAGGAGGGGTTTGGGATACTGGTAGTTTGGAGGGACATCTAAGCTGTCATATTTGAGCACCTCTGCAAAGACTGATTATGTGTGAGTGATGGTGAAAGTGTTGAATGATGATGAAATATTTTTCTTTCTTTTTGGGTCACCCTGCCTCAGTAGGAAATGGCAGATGTGTAAAAAAAAAATATTTACGAAAAATTAAAACTTACCTGAGCAATGGTTTTGTGTTCTCCTGCTGCCTGAGTGAGTTTAGTAGCAGCAGATGCACAAATGGCAGCAGCTCTGCACTGGCTGCTAGCTATATTACTAGACGATGATGTGGTGGTGAGGAGATGGCGGGCCAGTGACCGCCATAGTGGAGCACTGGATGGATGTTGGTGGATGCTACGACTCAAAATTGACTTTGCTTCTTTGGTGCTTCCCTAAAAGATAAAATGGAATGTGTTATTACAATTTATTCCTTGCCTAGTTAGAGACCAGTCTACAATTGTTGATTTCAGTAGGGTCTCCTCCTTTGTGGAATGGGTTAACATAAGCTAACTTAAAGATTTTTCAGAAAGTTTTGGTTTCAAGAAATTTATTAAACAGGGTTGCAACGACCGGAGACAGCAAATGGGCAACTTTCTTGTATATGGTGGTATACTTGCTTTATTACCTGCTTTGTTTGTTAGTGCATTTATTACTGATGTTACCACTATAGAATTTGTTGGGGACAGATAAGAGGGAGTCTTGTTAATTACCAATGAGGTAAGTACTAACCTAAACAATAGATGTAGGGATTTTGCTGGCAAGGTTAGTCCCTACAGTTGAGAAGAGATCATTAAGCTTATTTACGATATCAGTAATATGAATGGGGGTTAATTAGGTCTGTTCAGTGCCTTTTTTGATAAACAAAAACTTACTACTGATATTATTATTAGTAGTAGTTGTAATGATATTATCATCTTACTCGTGATGTAGCCTCTGCAGCTCTCAGGAAAGCCACATGATGAAGATGATCTTTGTTGTGCTCATGGGGAGCAAGCTCTGCCAAGGCTGCACTTGTCAGTACAGCATCATTAGAAATGAGGCCCAAAGCTGCTAATGCTAGTAATCCATGTATTGATGCGCCTTTCAACTGTGATCTGTGGAGACAAGTACATTAAATCCTTACTTAATGAATTGTGAAATCCATCTATTTTTACTTGTTTTTTTTTTTTTTTCAGAAAAAAAAAATAGTGAGATAAATGCAATAATCATTCACCAAATTTTTGTAAAAATACTAGATTGCTGAAATCTGCACTTTAAGCTAATACTCTATCCCATCAAATTTTACTATGATTTATTAGCCAATAAAGATAAATTATATTATAATTATTAGTTATTATAAAATGGTAAATTTTTGCTCATTATTATTAATACATTAATGTAATACAAAACTTTACTTCAAAAAATCATACATTTTCTTGTTTTTCCAACAAGTCAGCCATCTCCAACCAAGGCAGGGTGACCCAAAAAGAAAATCCTCAAAAAGAAAATACGTACTTTCATCATCATTCAACACTTTCACATCATTCATACATAATCACTGCTTTTCCAGAGGCACCCAGATACAACAATTTAGAAGCATATATAAAAATATATAACATGTCCCTCCAAACTGCCAATATCCCAAACCCCCTCTTTTAAACTGCAGACATTGTACTTCCCATTTCCAGTACTCGAGTCCGGCTATATAAAAATAACCGGTTTCCTTGAATCCCTTCACTAAATATTGCCCTGCTCACACTCCAACAGCTCATCAGGTTCCAAATACCATTTGTCTACATTCATTGCTATCTAACACACTCGCATACACTTGTTAGAAGTCCAAGCCCCTCGCCCACAAAACCTCCTTTATCTCCTCACTCCAACCTTAGCGAGGATGACCCCTGCCCCACCTTCCTTCCCCTACAGATTTATATGCTCTCCATGTCATTCTACTTTGATCCATTCTCTCTAAATGACCAAACCACCTCAACAACCCCTCTTCAGCCCTCTGACTAATACTTTTATTAACTCCACATCTTCTCCTAATTTCCACTCTGAATTTTCTGCATAATATTTACACCACACACTGCCCTTAGACAGGACATCTCCACTGCTTCCACCTGCCTCCTAGCTGCAGCATTTACAACCCAAGCTTCACACCCATATAAGAGAGTTGGTACCACTATACTTTCATACATTCCTTTCTTTACCTCCACAGATTACGTTTTTTGTCTCCATACATATCTCAACGCACCACTCACCTTTTTTTCTTCATCAATTCTATGGTTAGCCTCATCCTTCATAAACCCATCCGCTGACATGTCAACTCCCAAATATCTGAAAATATTCACTTCTTCCATACTCCCTCTCTCCAATGAGATATCCAATTTTTTTTATCTAAATCATTTGATACCTTACTCTTATCTATGTTCACTTTCAACTTTCTACCTTTACACACACTCCCAAACTTGTCCACTAACCTTTGCAACTTTTTTTTAGAACCTCCCATAAGCACAGTATCATCAGCAAAAAGTAACTGTGTAAACCCCCATTTTGTATTTGATTCCCCTTAATTTAATCGCCCCCCCCAAACACCCTAGCATTTACTTCTTTTACAACCCCATCTATAAATACAGTGGAACCTCAGATTATGAATGCCCCAACATGCGAATTTTTCAGGATACGAACCATTGTTTGGTCGATTTTTTGCTTATGGATACGAAGGAAATTTCAGGATGCGAACTTCCCCCTGAAGAGAGGTTCCTTAAATCAATAAATAAATAAAAAATTTAATTCTTTGCAAAGGTTACAATGTGTGTTTACATATCATAACACAATTGGAGCAAAGAAAGCCACTGTCATGCTAAGGCATTTCAGGCAGACTTAATCTAATACTAATAGACTACTTAAGTCTAGACAGGTGAAAAGTGTACTAGTAGTGGTTACCAGTGTTTTGCTGATGGTGGCGCTAACAACTGGCAGCCTTTTGAAGTTTCTCCTTACTATTATTATTATTATTACACTGCATTATTATTAGTTATAATAATTATTATTAGTAGTAGTATGTACGTGGTGATGGGCTCTAGATCTATGGAATTGGATCTGTGCACCAGTTCCCTAATAATAATAATAATAATAATAATAATAATAATAATACGTATGTACTAAGAATAACAATATACAGTGGACCCTCAACTAATGGTGGCATCAATTACACACACTCACCCACTGACTATAAACCCAGAAATACTAATCTTAATCTTAAAATAATAAATCCTAACTAGTCATAAGTTTGCCTGTGTTACTCCAATATAGACACTTTGTATTGTGCCAAAACAAAAGCATTCACATTGCTAAACTCACAAATTATGATGTAGTCACTTAGCCTTAATACCATAATCTGCAAGGATTTAATGTTAAGAATTAATCTAAGTCTGCCCGAAATGCCTAGCCATGCTAGGTGTCCTAGTGGCCCCCTCTGTAATTAGTATTTTATAACATGTAAACCACACAATACCCAAAACCTGTAAACCCCACATTGTAACCCTTATAGAGAATAAACTTATAGAGAATAAAGTAATGGCAAATTCGTCTAACAGCGCTCTTTGGTGTAAAAAAAAAATGGCTCTACCAATGGCAAAAACTCATCTAACGACGTTCGTCCTGAACTTGTCCATGGGGCCAGAGAGCGGCCTGAGCGGGCCTAGCCACTCCAGGACTCCATGTACAGCCAGTGTGCCAGCATTTACAAGCCGTTTCGGTCGATTCCAAGTGTACCTGCGACATATTTTGTTTTATTCCAGTGTTTTTAGTGCTTGTAACTGCTAAACAAGGCATCTTGGGCCCAAAGAAAGTTTCTAGTGCCAGTCCTGTGATAAAGAAGGAAAGAAACACAATAAAATTCAAGTAAAAACTCGTAGCAAAGTACCAAAGTGGAGGAGGAAGAGAGAGGGGAGAATGTGTCTTCTGCAGTGATTCACTGATTCTACGATACGTATGATACTAAAGCAGTAGGTATCAATAAAGGCTATAGTGCCAGCCAGCAATAAAGTGTAGAATTAACAGTGTAGCAAGTAAGTTAAGCAAGTAAGTGATAGAAAAAACAACACGAAAGTAACTCTCCAATGTTGTTGGATGTGTGTACTTCCGCTGGGCTATCTTCCACTACCCTACACCTCTGCCAGCATCGCCTCCATCAAACTAATTAAACTAACATCTTCAAGGCAAGTGTAAACATAAAAGTGTAAGCATAAAAGTAAATACAGTGGAACCTCAAAAATCGAACGACCAATTATGTAAGTGTATTTTTGTAAGTTATTTTCATATAGTCGGACTTGAGTCCTGGAAATGGGAAGTACAATGCCTGCACTTTAAAGGAGGGGTTTGGGATATTGGCAGTTTGGAGGGATATGTTGTGTATCTTTATACGTATATGCTTCTAAACTGTTGTAATCTGAGCACCTCTGCAAAAACAGTGATTATGTGTGAGTGTGGTGAAAGTGTTGAATGATGATGAAAGCATTTTCTTTTTGGGGATTTTCTTTCTTTTTTGGGTCACCCTGCCTCGGTGGGAGACGGCCGACTTGTTGAAAAAAAAAAAAAAAAAATTGTAAGTGCTTTTATAAGTGTATTTTTGAGGGTCTGAAATGGACTAATCTAATTTACATTATTCCTGATGGGAATAAATTCATTTGGCAAAGGCACTCGAACAGCCTTCTGGACCGAAGAAAGTTCGATATTTGAGGTTCCACTGTATATTAAGTGTAAATATAAAAGGACCCCAATGGAAATACACAAGTCACTCTGACTTTTTTTGGTTATCCCAGGTACTTTACACATATGTTGCTATGTATGATAATCTACGTAACTGTATTTGTGTATACCTGAATAAACTTGCTTATTTATAAATTAAAATGTAAATATTTCTTATTTATAAATTAAAACGTATATATTTCTTATTTATAAATTACATACATTGTTTAAGTGTGATGGTGGTGCTGGCTAAATCCTCCACCGCCACCAACACGGCTTCTCTGAGTGGAGGCCCTTAAACCCAATAATTAAACTTGCACCATTTACTCCTCTCATACATTATGATATATTTTATTCATTCTAGAGCATATATCATGTCTCTATGTTATTAATATTCTTTATAATGTCATACTAGATGAATTGTGATAGATAAATAACCAGTAGAGATGATATTAGCATCATATTGAAGCATAATAAACTTGTCTTCGTCTTGCCTCCTACGTGTCTGTCATACACCAACAAGTCGAGTCAGTAAAGATAAGTCAGTAAAGGTAAGTGTGATGTTAAATGTTCATTTATTCATTTAGTGCTTTATATTTATTTGTCATTGTTTTCTGAAGGTATATTTATATTTAATCTTTAAAAAAAAAATATTTTTTGTTAATACTTTCGGCTCTCTGAAACGGATTAATTGGATTTCCATTATTTCTTATGGGGAAAATTAATTCAACAAACAGCAAATTCGACTAACAGCTAGCTCTCTGGAACGGATTAATGCCGTTGGTTGAGGGTCCACTGTAATTAATAATAATAATATGTTGTCATTTTTAGACATTTTTCATATTTTTTTTTTCATGATATTGTGCCAAAAGGTTCAAAACAGAAATTGCTAACCCTCTGGGTGGCTGTAGGTACAGCTGCTACAACCACATCTATCTCAGTGCCAACCAAGAGTCAAAAGAAAGAGGTGTGCCGTTCTGAGTGATCACAGCAGACCCTTGGGATGCGTAATTTTGATTTATATTGTACAAATTTCTTACACAATGCCTCACCCAAAGAGACAGTATTTGCGTACAATCAGAAAGAAGCAATTAGAAACTATGAAAAAAGCTAGATAAACAAAGGCAGCAGCAGCATAGTGGGGCAGCTGGCCGCCACCACTACTGTGGCCACAGTGATCATGTCTTCACCTATATATACTGTACATCTGTCTTGACCACACCTGTGGTTACATATGTGACAACCTCACCACTAATCATAGATAAACACAAGCTAGGTGTGGGGTTATGGACTGGGAAGACACTAGAGTGGGAGAGTAAATGGCGGATGCTTTCTGCCGCTGCTGGTGTCATCATCACTTGCC